GATTATAAATCCTTTGGGTATAAACTGAGGAGTGAGATAGCTGGGTCAAGTGGTGGTTCAAATCCAAGTTCTCTAAGGAATCTCCATACCAATTTTCATAATGATTGCTCCAATTTGCATTCCCACCAGCAATGTATGAGTATACCTTTTCCCCCACATCATCGTCAAAATTCATTGTTGTTTGTATTCTTGATAATTGCCATTCTGATTGATTGTATTTCTTCTTCTGTGAAGTATCTGTTCAGTTCCTTAGCCCATTTATTGACTGGATTATTTATTATTTTTGGTGTTAAGTTTTTTGAGTTCTTTATATATCCTGGAGATTAATGCTCTATCTGAGGTGTGTGTGGTAAAGATGTTCTCCTATTCTTTATGCTCTCCCTTTCACATTATTGATTGTTTCTTTTGTGGAGAAGTTTTTTAGTTTAAAATCTGTCCAATTTATTGATCCTTGATTTTCTTCTTGCACTTTAGGAATCTCATTAAGGAAGTCAGATCCTACGCTCACATGGTGACGATTTGGGCCTACTTTTTCTTCTGTTAGGCGCAGGATCTCTGGTCTAGTGCCTAAGTCTTTGGTCCACTTTGAGTTGAGTTTCATACAGGATGAGAGATAGGGGTTTAATTTCATTTTGTTACATGGATTTCCAATTTTCCCAGTACCATTTATTGAATAGCCTATCTTTTTCTCCAGTGACTGTTTTTGGAAACTTTTTCTAGTATGAGATAACTGTATTTATGCGGGTTTGTCTCTGTGTCTTCTATTTTGTACTATTGGTCTATGTGTCTGTATTGGTGCCAATATCACGCTGATTTTGTTACTATGGCTCTTTAGTACAGTTTAAGGTCTGGTATTGTGATACCTCCTCCTTTATTCTTATTGCTAAAGATTGCTTTGGCTATTCTGGGTTTTTTATTTTTTCAAATGAATTTTATGATTGCTTTTTCTAGTTCTATGAAGAATGTTATTGGGATTTTAATTAGAATTGCATTAAATCTGTATAATGCTTTTGGTAGTATGGCCATTTTGACAATATTAATCCTGCTTATCYAGAAGCATGGGAGATCTTTCCATCTTCTAAGGTCTTCTTCAATTTCTTTCTTTAGTGTTTTGTAATTTTCATTGTAGAAGCCTTTTACCTCTTTTGTTAGATTGAGTCCCAGGGGTTTTATTTTTTTGAAGCTATTGCAAATGGGGTAGTTTTTCTTTTTTTTTTTTTTAAATGACACTTATTTATTGATTTATTTATGGTAGTGGACTGATCCGAACCCAAGAGCACTTAGCCATTGAACCATTCCCTGTCCTTAAGTGGCTTAAGGCGGGTCAGGTGTCACCACACTTGGTAGCATTTGTCTTGAGAACTCACTTGGGCTTGGTCTATTAAAAACCCCAAATTGAGCCTGGTAGAGGGGTGCAGGCCTATAATCCTAGGCATTCTGGAAGCTGAGGCAGGAGGATCAATTACAAATTCAAGGCCAGCCTCAGCAACTTAGCTGATGCTCTGTCATTAAGTAATAAATATGAAAAAGGAGAGATGTGCTTAGCGGTGGGTGCCCAGGATTCCATCTCCAGTATTAAAAACAACAGCAGCAAAAATACCCTGCCGAACTCCACAGGCCATTCTCCAGGAGGGCCTGAGACCCAGCCACCCACTATGCCCGTCTTTGTTCCTCACTGGGGGACAGCACCCGCTTCCCAGAGCTCCCCATGGTCACGTGGCCTCCCTGCTGGGCACGGAGGAGTGGTGGTGAGCCCCGGTGCAGCCTGGAGCGCACCGAGGGGGTTCTGAAATCTGCTGGAGCAAGTACACGGTGGGGTCCCGGCAGCAGCCAAAGTGGATCATTTTGTGGCTCCCGGCGTGGACTGTGTGCATCTTGAAAGGGGGGCATATGCTGAGCTGGAAGGAGGGGGTCTGGCGGTTGGTGTAGACTGGGGCCGCGAGGCAGGGACCCAGCTCCTGCTCTCGAGGGGCTGCGACTGCCCTGCTCCAGGTGGGCCCGGCCTTGGCTTGGATCTTGGCTTGGGGCTCCGCAGACTCCTGCTGGGGGGCTTGGGGCTCCGCATACTCCCGATGGGGGGCTTGGGGCTCCGCAGTCTCCCGTTGGGGGGCTTGGGGCTCCGCAGTCTCCCGCTGGGGGGTTTGGGGCTCCGCATACTCCCGATGGGGGGTTTGGGGCTCCGCAGTCTCCCGCTGGGGGGCTTGGGGCTCCGCAGACTCCCGCTGGGGGGCCTCCTGCTTTTGCTGGACGTGCAGTTTTTGTTTCTTGAGTTTTGCTCTGTGGTTCTTGAACCAAACCTGCAGGACCGATGGGTCTAAGTTCATTTTGGAGGCCATTTGTCTCCTCAGGTTGGGGTCTGGGTACGGGTTCCTGTTGAAAATGAGGGTCAGATCTTCCAGCTGTTTCTCCGTGAACAATGTTCGCTTCTTGTGGAGATGCCTCTCTTGCTTGTCTTCAGGAAGGGCCTTGGAGCCTGACATCTTGGGACTTGGATGTATGCCTGGCTCAGCCTCTGCAGTCTGGGGTAGTTTTTCTAATTTCTCTTTCAGTAGATTCATCACTGATGTATAGAAACACATTTATGGGTGTTGATTTTATAACCTGCTTCTTTGCTGAACTCATTTAGGAGTTTTGAAAGTTTTCTGGTGGAATATTTTGGCTCTTTGAAATATAGAATCATGTCATCAGAAAATAGTGATAGTTTAAGTTCTTCTTTTCCTATTTGTATCCCTTTAATTTCTTTCTCCTGTTTAATTCCTCTGGCTAGAGTTTCAAGGACAATGTTGAGTAGTAGTAGTAAAAGAGGGCATCTTTGTCTTGTTCCAGTTTTTAGAAGGAATTCTTTCAATTTTTCTCCTTTTATAATGATGTTGGCCTTGGGTTTGGCATATATAGCTTTTATGAAGTTGAGGTATGTCCCTACTGTCCCTAATTTTTTCAGTGTTTTGTACATGAGGAGGTGCTGTATTTTGTCAAATGCTTTTTCTGAATCTGAGAAGATCATATATTCTTGTTTTAAGTCTATTGATGTGATGAATTACACTTATTGATTTCTATATGTTGAACCAACCTTGCATTCCTGGGATGAACCATACTTGATCATGGTGCACTATCTTTTAAATATGGCTTTGTATGCAGTT